TGAAATGACTTTTTTGGGATGATCATTATACAGAATTTATTATTGAATTAATTGATGTTTTCGTCCTCCAATTCTCACAAATAATAAATTATAAAAGAAATTGAATGGAATAATTCAATAAAGCAACAAAAGTTTGTAGAATCATTGACTAACGACAAATAATCAAAGGCAATTATCTTTTGTTAAATAAAAATCCACGATTTTGGCAAATAATTTAAGCAGTCAATCCCTAATTCGTGTCAAGGTGCTACGGAGGCTCGATAAGAACTTCAAAGTTTTTAAACATGTTATAATATAATGTCCAAATCTTTATATGGTAACATTGCTAGGAAAATCAGGTTCCGAGAAATTTTTGACAAAATTAAGAGCTTAATCTATCGTCAAAAAATACAATAAAAACTCAATTTTTTAAAACCTTATTTTCCTAGCAATCAACCCATATAGATTTTTCCTCTTAGTTTGGATCGTTAGCTTTATATATGATTTGAAAAATTAACTCTTCTTTTTATAAAATAATATGTTATTGTATTTTTGGAAATAATAAATATCATTGTCTCAAAGTTGGATGTTAATATATATAATAATTTCTCTCGTCATGAATTTTTGTTTGTAATGTACCGGATATTAATCAAGATCAAGTAATTTTGAACAAAACGAAGAGTTTTAAAAGATTTATAGTGATAATATTATTATACATAAACTTTGGCTTATCAAATAGTAGTCTCAGATTATCTTACCGAATTTAAAGATGTTACTTTTCCGTTTAATAAAGATATTTTATCGAATCATGATAATCGTTTATTTAATATAATTTCTTTTAGGAAAGGCCTTTGAGATATTTTTGGCTAGGTTTAGGTACAATTCCAGGCGTAATAACGTCTTTCATTGTTGTCCTAATTTTGGATTAAAAAGATATATACCAGTTATTTTGATCTTCCATTTTTTCTCCATTCAGTTGTACGTAAGGTCGGTCCATCGTGGAAAATATGAATTAAATTGTTAAGATAAATCAAAGATAAAACACTTCATTTGAATAAAAACTACCATCCTTTACTCCCAAAAATAACATATTACTCAACTTTATTTTTTCTTATTTTTCGTAATTTCTATTAAAGAAAGTTATTTTTTTTTTTTTAAAAAAAAAAAAAGATTAAATTAAAATGGTTCAACAAATAAGTCGGTATCTTTTCATTCATTTACATGTTTTTTACAATCTTTTTTTTCCGTAGTAATATTCTATTGCAGTTTTTAACAAATCTAATAATTTCTTTTTATTGTCTACTTCTTTAATACGTCGCTTAGCTAATTACCAGGCTCTATTTTTAATTTATGAATTAAAGGAGTAATTGTAATTAATGGTGGAATTTTTTATTGATTGACAATAACCAGCAATATGATTAGAAATGATTTAACAATGATGTAATTAAAGTTTCAACGATAATTATGTCATGTATTTCGAAAAATATTTGAAATAGTATGTAATGCCTTTGTTATTTAGTTCACTTTCTGCTTCATTTTAAAATAAGTCTAGGGGAACACTGTATAGAGAAATCCGTAAATATGATATAAGTAATGAACATAATCTTTCGTTCTTTATTTTTTTTTTTTTTTTGAGAATTAACTCTTTTTGATTATATATTAATGTATTAAAAGTGTATCATTTTCTGAATACAGAAATTATTACTTCCAATTCAAACTTTGATTATAAGAGCATTATTTTTTTAAAAAAAATAAAAAATTAATGCTAGAAATCATGTGATCCTTAATACTGATCTTATCAAAATTATTTTGTTTTTTAGAAAAAATGAATGAATGTAAATAGTTATGAAAATAAAGTTTTAGACGAAATGGAATCTGAATTTAACAAATTAAATGTCTCAAATAAGAATTGTTCTTATTGCGATCATTTTCCGAGAAATTATGTTTCAAAGAATGTGATCCTTGGTGTATAATTGAGGGATGGACTAGTGGAAATTCTGATATTGAAAAATTCATCAAAAGACATAATGTACGGTGAAATATCCAAGGTATCTTGAAAGGGTTCCTTTTGACAGATTCACGGATATAAAAGAAATTGTTGAAGGAATTTCCAAAGTGTACTTTGCAAAATGAGTCAATGGTAAATCGAAATTTGAAAAGCAATATGACGGAAGTTGGAAAAATTTGGATCCCAAACCTAAAAAGGATGCTTTGAAAAGGTTAAATGGATCACGGAATATTTCAGATAAATATTTTAATGAGGAATTTACATTTAAATTATATTTATTGAATGTTTCTAATTTGCTTAAATTTTTATAACAAATTTAGCTTAAAACACATTGGTATTTTTGCAAAGAAAGTGTATGGAATAACTAAGGATCCAGAAACCAAAGATTTTATTATGATCGTAACATTTGCAGAGGCAGACATGGGAAATTTTGAGTTATCTTTCAAATAACTTAACAACATTTATTGGAAAGATAAAATCATTCAATTAAATTCCGTAATTTTTAACTTTCATGGTTTAAAATATTGTCAAGGATTTTCATAGTGGAAATATCTTGCAGAATGAATTTGTTGCTTACATTTCGGATTTCGGATTTTCAGGAACAGCATATAAGCAAAAATTGGATGATAAAATATATGGAGTTTTACCATATATAGCTCCAGAAGTCTTGAATGGTAATTTATATACTTTAGCTTCTGATATCTATAGTTTCGGAGTAATTATGGCTGAATTATCAACCGGAAACCCTTCCTTTGTGATAATATACATGACACTTCTTATCCTTAGATATTTGTAATGGATTTCGTCCAGAATTTGGAAAAGGAACTGCTGAAATTTATAAAATATTGACTTATAGATGCATAGATGCAAATTCTAATCAAAGGTCAACTGCCGAGGAATTGTTTAGATATCGTTATTTTTGGTATCGTTCAATAATCAAGTATGAGAAGTATAAAGATATTAAAAATATGTTATTATGGTAAAGAAATAAAGAAAGCATTTAAAGAAGCTGATAAAGAAATTTCATATATATCAATTTCACGTAAAACTAATCCTGATGCATATATACGAGTAGAGCATAAAAATTTATAAAAAGCCTATTAATTCATCCTCTATTTCGAGAATAATGAAGTATTATATAAACAACTTTTAATTTGCTATATTAAGAATTGTTACTAATGTATGTTATTTTAATAGATTCTAAATTATTTGATTTAGAAATTCCTTAATTTATTGCGATCAAGAGATAATATATATCTATATAATTATATTTACTAATATTAATTTTATATAAATCGTATATATAAATTAAGATCAAAATTTTTTAATGATTCATTGCCAATGAAATAATCTAAAAATTTAAATAACTATTGTAATTACATGAATTACATGCTAAAAGTTTAAATTTTCAGATTAGAAATTATATCATCATAATTTCATAGCTAACAACTTTTGGCGTACAAATTAAATAAAATAGTGATGTAATCTTCCGCTCTACAGGAGATGTTCATTAATTAATAATGTTGAACAAGCTAGATATTAAGTGCCCTATAAAAAAAAATGTCCAGAAAATGTTATCGAAAATGTCCGAGTGCATGTGGAAAATGTCCGGGAAATGTCAAAATCGTCCGGAAAGTGTACCAAA